GATCTATCTCGATCACCGGTAAAAATTGCCCATGAGCCATTTGGTCGCAAAATTTTAACGTGCTCTTTTAATTTTTTAAGAGATACTCTGCTTTACATGAGTCACCCTTTTATGAACTAAAAAAATGCACCTCACGACTTATAACATATTAAGTGGTGTCATGAGAGAGATAAATCAGGAAACTCCTTTAAAAAATAACCACATTCGAAGCGTCAATAATGCTCTATAACATTAGCTTGAACCTTTCCCTAAACCCTAGCACCCTTTGCATTCCTAAACTGCCCCTATTCCTGCCCACCTTCTCTGACCCCGAGGAAAGGAATCTCGCATGATTACCGTTACTTTTTACTGGTGCTCTGTTCTCTTAATTTAACTGACACGAGCGTGAGATATAAAGCAAACGAATCCTGACCGTCCGATGAATGTACGTTGGATGATTATATTATTTGGGTCCAAACAGGACTTTTTAGTCTTTTTGGTTCGTCCCAACCATGGAAGTCAGTGACTCCTCTTTTCCAGTAGACTCTACATTAAAAAAGGTCCCCTCCCATCAAGACTTGATTTGTTCCTGTCTTCTTTGGGTCATTTCAAGGCTCTGTTGGTTGCCAACACCAATCATTTGGTACAACCTACTCCACTGGGTGACACGTGGATATAATGAATTTTGTCTGAGAGCCTTCTTTTTTTCGCGGGCTGCGTCGAGGATCCCGTAGGCGGTACGGCTCACGGTCGACAGAAATTAGTGGCTATAATGCTAATCAAACTTGAGCTCATGACCCCGGAGGATTATAATGAAACCATTAGAAAAAATTGTTTTTGTAGCCTATTAAATATGTTGATATCAAACATGATAACATTATTGTTATTAAAGATTTGCATTCACCCTCACGGCCGGGACTCACCATTTCTCGCGCAACTCTCGCGCATGTGGCACATCTTTTCTAAACTTCGGACAATTAAAGATATCTTTTTGACAATACATATGATAACTTACACATAATAGCTCTCTCATTGCAATCAGTGGCATAGCCAAGATTATTTTTTGTCATGACCGAAAAATAAAGATGGCCTACGAGTATGTCGTGAGAGAGAGAGAGGAGTGAGAAGCGGGAGAGGGAGGAGGGCTGGAGATTGTTGAGATGGAGGTCCTGGAAGAGGAGGGAGAGGAGGTTGGATCTGCGGGAGAGGGAGGTGAAGTGGGGGGAGAGGAGGGGAAGCGAGGGGAGGAGGGATAGGTCGTGGGAGAGGCGGAGTTTCTTGTCCTGTGCAGCTGTCAAGGGCAAGCAAGCTCTCGCTACGCCCCTGATTGCAATCATTTCCATAGAAGAGACTTTTTATCAGGAGTCAACAATGGCGACAAGATAAGGATTCCCATTTTTAAGGTATCGTGTGGCTTGTTATAAAGTCCAATATACCCTTACTTTATGGTGATATCATTGAGATTAAGATCAATTTTAAGTGTGGTCATTCATGAACTATCTGAAATCTTGTCTTGATAGATCTCTGGTGATCGAGGCCATCGCCAACCAGTGGCGGCGTAGCCAGAAATATTTTTTGCACTGGACGAAAACTAAAGGTGGTCGGCGGTGAGGGACTTGAAGCGACGGAGGAGGGAGAGGAGCTCGGTGAGGGAGAGGAGGGAGGCGCAGGAGAGGGAGGAGGGTTGGGGATTGTTGAGATGGAGGTCCTGGAAGAGGAGGGAGAGGAGGTTGGATCTGCGGGAGAGGGAGGTGAAGTGGCCGGAGAAGAAGGGAAGCGAGGGGAGGCGGGAGGGGGAGGTGAAGTGGGGCAGTTTCTTGCCCTGGGCAGCTGCCCAGGGCAAGACTACCCTGGCTACGCCCCTGTCGCCAACCAAATGTATCCACACTTTAGCATGGTGTTATAATGGTTAGGCAAGTAGACATTAGTCCTTGAGTTAGCCATCTCTTCCAGGGGACCATGAGCCACGTTGTCCACCAAATCAACATATGTCCTCAAGCATTGAATACTCTTTTGGTGATCCTGTTACCTGATTAAATTAATGAAATTGGCCAACAATAATATTCATGGGAGCAAACGGGACCAGGCTCGTAGACCTAATGTAGCCAGACAATCATCATGGCAAATACAAAATTTTCAGGATTTCTTACATCAAATCATGTTAACAGGCTAATTAATCAAGCTCCAAGAGGCCGGATAAGTTAGGATGCAGACTTGTCCGATTTCTCAATTTAATTTTTTTTGTAAAGATTGAGCCACCTCCATCGCTCACCAACACCCAAGCTTGAATGGATCGGGCCAACTGCCCTCTTATCACGTTATAGCAATTCTGGATGGTACAAGAGGAAAAGGAATCAGGTCATTAAAGCAAAAAACGGCAGCTATATTCGTGTAATGTGTTCTCCCGTGATCGTGCTTGCTCTTATATCATTCATCTTTTGGTTGAACCCAGCTGTGTGTTTTCATGAGCGAGTGGATGTTTGATCATCAAGGATCAAGTACGTGCTCCTACAAACTTAGGTGCGCACGAACTTTACAAAAATATTGTTTTCATGCATCCGACTCCAATTTTCTACGAGGAACGATATTAGGTCACGTAACTTCTAATAAGATAAGATGTAGACTTTGTGTGTATATATATCAATGAAGAAAGATAGTATAAAACAACTCATTACTTCCTATGATGATAAGGTGGAAAAGAGAAGGGTAAATAAATTGAGAAATACGGAAAATAGGGATTGTGCAAATGAAACCACGACTGATGTAAAACATCCAAACCAATTAATGCTAGCTATAGAAAATGTAACGAAAAGAGGTAAAAACATATTCCTATAATAGGAGGTGTAAATATATGGGTTTTAGATTGATTAAGATAAACATATTCCTATAATAGGAAGTGTAAAAATATGAGTTTTAGGTAAATTAAAAGATAGAGAGTGGGTGATAGTGTAAATAATCACCAAAATGTTTTGGTTTTAGTTCGAATTAAATTATTAATATGTAATTTTTTACTTTTCATTTTAAACAGAGGAATTTCAGACTGAAGTTATTAATTTAAAGGCTAAAGTGTTAAAAATGTTTATTGATTTGAAAGACAAAAAATGGAGAAAGCGAGATTCAGCAGGCCTAAAAACAATAATTTCCTCCAATGAATAGTTACCTAGTAACCCAATAATGTGTCTGAAAAGTAAGACTGATGAGCGAAAGCTAATTGGTAAAGTACTGATATATGATCTTTTACACAACGCACACTCAAAATATTGCGTCCTGAATTTACCACCGAACGTATCATTTCAGTGCTAGACTGGATTTTTCAGCGCCACACCAAAGTAGATCGTCATAAATCTTAGCATTACTTGTAGTTGATCTCGAACGTAAGTTATATTGGGTGATCGAACTAAGAATATTAATACTCTTGATCAAATTGCAGCAGTTTGTGTTAATCCTATTGATTATCGGAGAGAGAAAAAACTGGGTCATTCCGGGCTAGAAACGATGGCTGACATTATCTTACACACGCAAGTACAACAATGTCATAATACACGCAGCTTAATAAAAATAATAATGCTAGGGACACACCACCTACCACACCACCAACCACACCTCCTCTCCTATTACTACAGTAAACCAGGCCCCACATGAGATTTTAAATTTTTTAAAATCCCAAATGGGACCCGGTTTACTGTAGTAATGGGAGAGGATGAGTGTGGTTGGTGGTGTGGTTGATGGTGTGCCACTAGCACCACTCTTAATAAAATGTGTCAAAATCTAAGGCTCGGGCCGAGTTATTCTCTTGCGGATTCTGTTGCAATAATTCGATTGACTGATTGGTATAGTATAACTTATCTATATGATGAAGAGATGAAATTTTAACACATGAACATCAGAAAGGTAAAATCTTGCCCTCAAAAAGAAAAGAGAAAAAAGAAAAATAAAAGACAGGTAGAATCTTCTGAGAGACTCAAAACAGCTACAAAATTGAGTATTGGGCAGGGCCCATCCCAATTTTTGTGGGCTAGATTAGTCCGTGTCGAGAAATGAGGATTTAATGAGATTGGCCAACATAAGACAGACATTTTAAAGTTACGTCAAATGAGACGCTGTATGATAAACTTATTGTGATTGTAGAATTAATCAAACAATATATACATCAAAATACCATACAAAAGTTTTAAACAAACTCCAAAAGAGAATAAATAAAATTTCTTAAAACATTCATTTCAGTCGTGTATATGAACTTTACGAAGACTGTAGGGTTTCCTTGAGCCCTTTTCTCAAAATGTAATAGGATTGAACCTGGCCCAGATTCACTTTATTAATGCTCTCTGTCTCTCGTTGGAAATTGGATGGGCCTAACTTTTGGGTCATATTTCTTTTATTTTTTGAGAGGGATTTCTAACAGACCAACAGAATTCACAATTGATAATAAAATAATCTATCTTTTCTGAGGATAAATAACCATAAGTAGTTTTATTAAACGAGAGTGCAATTGAGTAACAGAAGAGGTAAATACAATTGTTGATAGATATAAATTAACATTTACAGGGTGTATTAAAAGTAAGCTAAAATAGATAAACCCACCGAGCACATAATTTGTATGAGTGCAAAATTCACCAAGTACAATTGAATGTGTAATATATGATGATCTGGACCACTTCCTATTGAAAATATACTTATTCCTTTCCTGAATCAACCAACGGTTTACTGGATAAGCAATACTTTATAAATATAATGAAAAAGAAAAACTTTTGCTAGTATATGATATTGCAAATTCATGAGTTCTCCATGAGGTCACAGTTACGTAACGAAGGTGTATTTGGTTAATAATAAACATTTCCTTTACTTCATAGTACCATTTTCAGTAATTCCCAAGATAATGTGCAGACCTGACCCGGCCCACTCCCAACCCCAAATCCAACCAAGAGAATCGGCGAATTTTCCGGTGGGACCCACTTTTTAAGCGGTTCCCGATTGACAGAGATTGGCGTCTCGTCACCGACGATCGTTGTTGATCTGACCCAAAAATAAAAAAAAAAAGTTAAAAGAAAAATAGGAAAGAAAGTAACAGCTGGAGAAAAACAGGGGAGAGAGAACGTTTCAAAAGATAGGAAGAGTTGACGTAATAAACTCAAAAGTTGAAAAAGAAAGGAGGGGGGTTTTATATTATTGTGAGAAGAAAATTTGAGGAGGAAAAATTAAAGATGGAGAGGAGGAGATCGATGCAGGAGATATTGGGGTTGCTGAAGGTGAGGATCGTGAGAGGAACCAACCTCGCTTTTCGTGATACCAGAGGCAGCGATCCCTATGTTGTCCTTCGCCTGGGCTCTCAGGTAATTTTCCCTTAATATTTTTTCTTCATTCATTTCATTTTTTTTAAAAATTTGTTCATGCAAATACACAAATAACTTGCATCAATCATTGTTGATCACCGTGAGAAGTGCAAAGATGTGTCTCGAACTAACTTTTTTTCCGATCTAAAATATTGTTAATATAAATTAAAAGATAGGATTAAAAATGGGTGTACGGATAAGAGATCAAAAGGTTACTTATATAGATAATAAAACGAGAGGGAATTGATTAAAATGGTTTAGTCATGTAGAATGGAGATAAACGAGTGCATCAATTAAGAGAATTCGATAAGATATATAGTTAACAGAGCAAAGAGGTCCAAGTCTAACAACTAAACTTAAAAGAACCTGATTAAAAAAGATTACAAAAAAGATATGATAATAGTTACCTTTACGAAGGAGAGACCACCCGCGATAGATATGCATGAATGAAAAATAATTAGGATTCATGTAGCCAACCTAACGTGCAATGAATTCTTTGTTGTGGTGTTGTTTTTTTTTATAGGGAATTGTTTACGAACGAGTTTCCCATGACAATAGTCTGATGATTGTCAAGTTACTCAAATATCAAGTGCTTTCCCAACCTTTTATTTGATTTTTTTTTATATTAGTGAAAAATGTAGATATCAAACTAAGTTTGTCCAGCTGATCGAGCCTTTGAAAAATCGTGTAGCGTTCATGTTAGAATATATGTCTAATTATATATCATAAAAGTAGTATAAAATTAAGCCTCAACCCTTATATATAATCATCCTCAGCGGAAAAGATCATTAAATTAGTATCCAAATAATTTGGAACAAGTAAGCATGAGGACCAGTGTGAGGAAGCGTCCTCAGCGGAAAAGTTAGCGTTGGTCTAAGATAACATATGATATCCTGAAATATATCTGCTATAAATGTCTTAGTGGAAGTTGGTGTCTACATATTCATGTTATCATGTTACACTTCAAAACTAGTAGAAAAGTTCAATACAAAATTATTTTTCGCATATTTTCGGTAGATTTACTCTTATTCTGTTGCCTGTAGCAGCGTCCGTAGTCTTAGCGTGCAAATATATCATGTCTTATACTGTCACTTTTCATTTGGCAGAAACTGAAGACCAGTGTGAAGAAGAGGAATGTGAATCCAGAATGGAATGAAGATCTAACCCTTTCTATTTCAAATCCTATCATGCCGATGAAAATTGTAAGTTAATTTGTTAATCTTTTACATATTATAATTTACACGGCTATATCTGAACATTTTGAGATGGCAGCCATTGCCCTTGTTTCGTTATTATTATTTTAGAACAGCGAGGAGTTAACTTAACCCCGCCATCCATTAGTAAGAGTTTAACAAAAGCAACCCACAAGGTATTCCCTTCTTTCACTGTTGTATCTAATTAAAAAAAATTATTGCATTTCTCATAATGAAACTTTCTTCGAACGAAATATGTTATAAATGATCTTAAAAATTGTAATATACTAAGAAAATTGTGTGGTACGAATCTAATACCTCATCTTAAAACTTCTAGTTTTACCTTTTCATGGCGTATTTAAAATCGTCATGCCCAAGAAAGTTGGCACATCTAACGTTATCCGGTGGTAGATGCTGCGTATACTAAATTATGCATATTTAGCCTAAATGATGATGAAAAGGATTTCTGAGCAAGGTGGAGTTTCTTAGTCATTGTGCACAATGTATGCTTCCTTTTTTAATAAACTGTTGAAATACATATCACCACTCAGACATGCAATGGATTCCTCAATATATATCATGGGTAAAGGGGGAACAATTTTCAGTATGCACCACTCTAGCTTTTACTATCTCATAGATTCTGATGCCCAAATATAGTTATCTTCAAAATTTTTGTACCCATCTTATGATGTGACATAACGTATCGTAGATAGACATATGGTATGTCTTTGTGTTGCAGAAAGACCCCTCCATTCTCCTATAAGTCGGGTACAAATAACTAAAAGATAACTCTATTTGGACATCAGGGGATCCAAGTGCTAGTAAAAATATTTACAATGTATCTTCAATTAACCCTAGATAAATCATATACTACTAATTATGCTTCTCTATAATGTCAAATTGCAGGAAGTGTACGACAAGGACACATTCAGCAGAGACGATGCCATGGGGGACGCGGAGTTGGACATCCAACCTTATCTTGATGCTATGAAAATGGTGTGGGATGGAATTCCTGATGGCGCTCTGTTGAAGTCCATAGAACCAAGCAGCGATAACTGCTTAGCCGCTGAGAGCAGCATTGTGTACAAAAACAAAAAGGTGGTCCAAGAAGCAATTCTCAGGCTAAGGAATGTGGAGAGTGGTGAAGTTGAGATTCAGATGCAGTGGGTTAAAATTACCTCTTCATGGTACTAAGCTTGAGGCATAAGAGAAAGGTTGATGTATGGAGCATATTTTCTACATGAACAACTTGTGTGAATGTTACATGTATCTTGTATCGTTTTGGGAGCTAATAACTGAATTTTATAAACTAATGTGTCCTGAATAAATTTGATCTGTATCCAATTATTTTCTTGTGAAAATTTATCACCGCTATTCTCAAAAAATATGTTACAAGAGCAGGGACAAATTGAAATATCTGCAGAATAGCATTATTTGCACATATATTCTGCATGTAGCACATGCATATATCATCTTTACATTTTATTTGAAACTTGTTAGATGCCGGTGCGTAGACACGTATCATCAATGAAGGAGGCCAAAGAACCAAGTTCATGAATCTTCATCAAAATTCTGTAACTAAGCAAATATATCTGGAGTCTCATTGTTTAATGACAATCATCTGGCCAGACTGGCCTAATGAAAGATAAAACTACATAAAACTCTTTCACCACAACATGAAAGCACATGAATGAGTTCGACTTCTACGATTCCCCTCTTCTCTTCGGTCTGGATTTCAACTTCAAATCCACGTTTGGACATCTACCGAAGTATAAAGGCAGATGTCCAAACATGGATTTGAAGTTGATTCCAGCAAAAGCATTTGCCACAATATGTTTTTGTGGCAAACCCAAGAGCCACCAGGACATGTAGAAACACTTTAAAACATGGCATGCAGCAAGGCCTAAAATAGCAACACGTCTACGAGACACAGATTGAAACCATCGAAACATCCGAATCCAAAAACTAACCAACAGTAACCATTATCTAAATCACATTTGATCGTCAATAGTCATGTACTAGTAACTCTAGAACTCACTAGGATAAAATGAAAGCATCCAACACCATTCATCACCCCCAACAAAATTGGAAAACATAGAAAGCACGATCCACGAAAAAGAAATAAGTAGAGACTTGACATGCTTATTTGAAGCACTTGGCATCCGGTACAGAGCCTCACACTCAAAAGGCTCCTGGTCCTCAATCATGGAGTTAACACGCTCCTTCTGTGCTTAGTCCACTCATAAAGCTCCATGTCGTAGCACTCTTCAAGAACAAAGGGAGGGATCTCTTTTCCACGGAAGAGCCAAAGACCCTTGATCTTGTATGGGGCTCAGACCCAATGACAAGCGTCTTTCCGAAAGCATATTTGCGAACAAGATCCATCCTCTGCGAGAACCCACCAACCTTGCTCAAGGTCACAAATGAGACTGCTCTCGCCATTGTATTTATACTCACAGAACCGTAGAGAGTAGCCTTCAGGATCATACATACATGTCTCAAAATCCTAATGCAGTTTAAGTCAAAAAATGATGGATCGTTCAACAATCATAAATCAGTAATGATGCAAAAGAATACTGACCGGATATACGGATAAAGATACTGAATATCTAATTTAGATATCTTTCTTAAATTTTTGCAGGTCAATGATATGGACAAGTAAAATAATCTGGATCCATAAACGAATATCCGAAGTTATGATGTTTTGATCAGACAGTTGAATAAGTATTGACAGGACCAATTTGGTGACTTCCAGACTCAACCTTAGCTTTACAGGCGCATTAACATATTAATGGACTCCTATTTGAGAAATTTCAGTCCATTTAAACATGGCACATATTTTTTTTCAATATTATCTGTCTCATATATGCTTTATAATAATCCATGTTTTCTCTTGTTCTATCTACACCCGTACTTGATTTTTCACAAATATTGGCTATTAGTGTTCCTTGTTGAACATATCCATGTTCATATATGCATCCCTAATTAGTGAGGATATACTATCTATCTTATTCAATCTATATTTAATCCTTCTATCTATGAATTAGATATGATTTTTGCTGATACTTCGATGTATTTGAAAACACAAGGACTTAAAGCTAATACTGAGATTATGAAGGGAAACTACCTTTAATGGCAACTTCACGGAAGTTGGTCTTGAGGTTGAAGTACAATCTCTTCCATTCATCCAAGATCATCTCGCTTGGTTGCAAGAGGTCAAGTGGGTTCTTCGCCTTTGGCTTGGATGCCTCCTCTTCCTCAGTACTAGGCTTTGCAGGCTCTTGCTTACCTCCTCCCTCGGCTTCCTTGGGCTTTGACTCCTTGGACAGTGCAGGCTTCTTTGCTGCTGGAACAGGGAGAATGACTTGTGTCTGCTTTACCTCCCCTGTTACCTTGCAAAAGTTTGGTTGATTCACTAGTGTCCAGAAATATCTTTCAACATGGGGATATTGTGATGAGGAGTTCTTAGTCATGACCCCAGTGAATCCTGTGCACAAGTTGCAAGTCATTTCGATATCAGCCAATGCCACTATATCTCCTACAAGGTAAATAGTGGTAGCAAGATGAGTGTTCAGAGCTTCTAGTGCCCTCTTCAAATTGGCGATCGCAAGTTCCTCAGCCTGTAAAAATAAGATTTTTAAGCATAGTATGCAAATCATAATCACACAAGATACACAAACCTGTTGAATAAATGGTCTAAATCCAATACAGGAACCTGGATGAACATACATTGTTTTATAGCAAAAAAAAAAATGCATAATTGCTAATCCAAACTCATTATATTGATCATCATGTACCTTGCCCAAGGGGTTCATCTTAATGAATTCAGGAGTCTTATTTGAGACCCCCATCTGAAAGTCTTTCACAAGTTCAACTTTAACCCCACTGTATGCTGCAGCGATAAGAGGCTCTTCCAAGCATTTTTGTCTTTCACAAGAATAGGAAATATGCCAGATTAATGACAATCTTAACCGGCATCCACTAAAAATATGTAAGAGGAATGTATTCCAATAGACTATTCATGATTTAAACATGCACGTCTACAAAAAAGATCCTTAAATTTGATGCCATGCAGCAAAGAAGGATTATTTAAACAGAAATACTTTCAAATAATTTCCCAATTTCAAACTAGAAACAATCTGAAACAAGATGGAAATCAAATTTACAAAATAGGTACGTAGAGAATTTGAAAAAAAATAAATAATTCACATCTTACATGTTCTGAAACAAACTTTATCTCTACGTGACATACTAAGACAGTATCTCAATACTCAGTAAGGAGGAGGAAGGAGGAGATGAGGGAATTTTTTTGGCCTTTTTAGTTTCTTGAGAGAGGATAAAATGCAACAGTTCATGTTAAAACCATTCACTGAACCCCTACGCTCAAATAAATAATAGCTAGCATTCTCGATTATGAAAACTTTAAAGCAGTCGAGGACTTGGAAGTACGACTACTAGATGAATTTATATAAATTTTTGGTTCTATCAAAGTATTCCTGTTCTCATTACGTTTTCACCGTCGATTTCTGGTCTTAGTATGTGTTTTCATAACTTGGTGATCGAATTTCTTCTTAAACACGTGTGTACTTGGTTGAGCCTCAAAAAAGCCGCATCAGTCGATTTCATCTTCCCCGTACTGTTCACGGGTCATAATCGGCAGTAGTGTTTAAAAACCCAGTCTTGGACCGTTTTAAATAATGAAGCCCAACAAAAAAGACATCAAACATTTAGCAAAACGATCGCATTTAATCAAAAAAGGCATAGTTAATAATTGGGCCTAAAATTTAAAGCCTATAAAAGGGGGTTAGTTAATAAGTGGGCCGACATAGCCAGCTTGTAGTCATTACCCAGTTAGTGCTTTTCGCTGTTTTGATGCGGGCCTGCGCTCGCCTCAGGCTTTATTTCGGCCCGTATCGCAGATACAAAAAAATGGTGAGACCGGGATCCGAGCCACCACTGAAGAAAGAAGATCAGTTGAATGACTCACGATATCCTGTTTATATATGAGTATTTTTATATCACACCAGAAATCTAACTGGCACGTGATATGAAAGCATATTATTTTTATTTTATTTAGCATATATATTTTAGAGTTGGAGGAAATAGTGATGATCAATTGATTTTCCGAGAGATATTATCTTCATTATTTAAACTTGAAATCCTGCACTAGTTATCTCATCCTCATTATTATTTTTTGCATATTAGTGTAAATAAATTATAATATAGATATATGCTAAGATTCTTATCTCTCTTACTTTCTAGCCGTGGGATGCACTACTAATATCAAGATTATGATCAACGAAATCTCTTTCATTTTTTGAAGGAGGGGTAGATTTGAAAAGAAAAAAAAACAAACTAGATGTAAGGAGCCATTATTGCCTGAGTCCATATATTTAAGATTATGGAGAGAAAGGAAAACAGATTGTATCCCCCCTCCCCCACCATTATTGCCTGAGTCCATTGCAACTCCGACGCTAAATCCGACTCCGATCACATCCTCTCTCCCCCACCATTATGAGAGGCAAAGCCAACTTCGACGCTACCACTTTCCTCCTCTGCTGCGAGTCCCAACCATTACTCTGCTTCTCAATTCCTCTCCTCCAACTTCGTGAACGATATTTAATTATTTACGCTTCATTTTCATTTCATGACATTTGAGTGGCATAGAATGTTCTAGAAAGAAACGAGGTAGAAAAGAGAATCACATAATTATTTATTAAACTACATAGAATGTCATAGAGAGCGGGGAAATGGAAAAGGGAATCAATTTCCCTTATAAAATTATAATTTTACCCTTTTTTAAATAATTAAAAGGAGTAACTTGTCCATCATTTATCCATTTTATTCTTACCCTAGTCGATTCTTTGTATATTAATATAGATGTACCGGAGGGAGGCAAAAAATGTTATTCAATGAAGAACGAGTCTCACACACACGTAGCAGGCAGGCTGAATGGAAAGCACTCCTAGATTAGAGAGGGAGGGTTAGATTGTTTATTTTGTTCGGCGAGAAATACATTTGTGACTATATTTTTATATTTAAAAAATACTCATAGTTGCATTACACTTAAAAGTCCCGTGTCAGTGTAATTGTAGGAGTCACTTTAACCAAATGAAGCATGTATTTTAATATTTTATGGACCAACCCCTTCGTTCTTAAGAAAATTGGGAAAAAATAGAATTTATTAGTCAAATGTCTTATTCGTTATCACTATTGCGTAAAAGGTTTTTTTATATAAAAACCATCTTAACTTTTGTCCAATTTACAATTTACCATAATTAATTATTTATTTTTTATGTAAATCATCTTAATTTGCTTACATGTTTTCAATATCACACCCCCCCTCTTCCACTCCCTAACCTTTCCCACCTCATTCCTTTCCTCTCCTCTCCATCTCTTATTCTTCCTCAATCTCCTCTACCATCTCCTTCACCTCTAGAATTTCTCCTAGCACTATAGTCTTCTCTCCTCTCCTTGATCCCCCCTCCGCCAATGACCCCTCAATCTCCTCCATTTCCTATCCTCTTCCCCTTAGGGGCTGTTTGGTTCGCTAAAAAAGCATGGAAAGTAAAGAAAAGGAAACATATTTCTCATAATTGGATGTTTTCTTGTGTTTGGTTCACTTCTTAGAAGTAAAAAAGAGATAAGTTGAGATGAGTTGTCACAATATTATTGGATGATGTGAGTGATTTTTAAAGAAAACTTATTTTGATGTTCTTTTCTTATGTTTGGTTGGCTAAAAAAATAAGGAAAAAACTTATAAGGAAAATATTTTCCTTGTTTTGGTTCTTTTCTTGTGTTTGGTTCATTTTTAAAACTAAGAAAATAGATGAGAAGAGATGAGTTGTCATTATCTTATTGGATGATGTGACCCACACTTAAGGAAATCGATTTTCTAGCTTTTTTGGAGGAAATTGGTGGAAATATAATGTTAATGAGATAGGATGAGTTGTCACCATATTATTGGATGATGTGAGTGGTTTTTAAAGATGGTAGTAGATGATATGAGATGAGTTGGATGAGTTGATTGATGTGACCCATTTTTTGTGTTTAGTTTATTTTTAAAAATAAGAAATAAGATGAGTTGTCACCATATTATTGGTTGATGTGGGAGATTTCTAAGGGTGGAAAATGATGGAAACCAAATTTTATTGATTTCCATGCTTTTCTTTCCTTTTCTTGGTTTTTAGGAAACGAACCAAACATCCCCTTATCGTCCTCCTCCACCTCATCCATTAACTCCTCCATTTCTAGGGTTTCTCCTCTCCTCCTCCTCCACATCCTTTCCACTCTCACCTCTTCCTCCATTCTCACCCCCCTACTCTGACTAGTGACCTCCTTCTCTCCTCCTCTTATGCCATCAACCCGATGAACTTCTCTCTCCCTCTCCTCCTCCTCTTCTTTTTTTTCCTATTCGGTTAGATTGAGTGGTATTTTAGTTGTTGATGTCAGTTATTTAACATGAGGTTTATTTGAGGATAAAAATAGAGTTGGGGTCCTCAAACTCTTTTAGATGACTGGCTCTGTAGATAGTTGTTCTTCTTTACACACGAAGAACTCGTAAGAGGCCAGAGTTGAGCTCTCTGATTATTCCTCCGACGATCAAGCCACTATATGGACTTGAATGGGAAAGTGTGAGATGATGAGGAATGTTTTAAAGTTATGTCAAAAGATCAGAGGGCTACTTTAAGATGCGTGGTTTCCTTTTATAGAGGATCAGAAGAGTAGATAGGTAACTTGAGCCGAGTCCAAATAGACAGCTGACTCGGCAGACAGTTGACAGGTGTCGGCTGCTAGAGAAGATGAGTCATCCGAGTGGTTAGTACAAGCGACAGCAAATGCTTGGTATTAACTGGGTCTGATGAGTTATAAAGACTATATGGATTAGAGCAAGGATGACTTTGTCCAAGCAGTTAATGCAAGGGCAGGTGGCTGTCGGTGCAGAGTTCGAGGAAACTACCACATCTTCACTCGTCTGGTGGAGGGCCGACTAACATCGTCTTTTTACTTGGCTACGCAAGTTGCCGACTGAAATAGTAGGCCAGATGTGGGTTATTCGCAGAGGCAATTGGTTGGGTTAGACCATAACTACTTACTCAGCTACGCAAGTGTTTGGTGGGAAAATCGAAAGAAGAAATTGAGAAAATAATTTTGTATTATTCTCTCTAACAGACATAGAAAAAAGAACGAGTTACAATTCTCTCAATGCAATCTCTCTTTAACAAACTTAGAAAAAGAAGTTATAATTTATTTCAACCAGATTCCCAATTTACTAAAGAGAGAAAGAATCGATGGAGATCCTTTTATTTGTTTAAAACTGGGTTCTTCTTAGTGTCGATGAGATATCTCCCTCGAAACTCGTATCAAGTTTGCTTCCCGTTGATGATTCAACGTTTCATCTCATTGAAATAAAGTCTATTCCTCTCAGATTTGATGTCATAGGGAACTTGCGTGGCAAGTTGAACAGAACTCTTGACGAGTTTAATAACTCAAAATGAGTTTAAAACTTTAAAAAAGAGTTAATTTAAACCGAAAATAGGTTTGCAGGCCAAGGGAGAAAAGCTCCAAAGATCGCTGTTGCTGAAGAAGACCTTCCATTGCAGAAGAGAAATGTCGATCTCCAAAATATTCAAGCCTCTTTGATGATCTGCCCAAAAGATCTCTTCTTTACTGCCGAAAAGAGGATCCGAAGCAACCCCCAACTAAGCTAAATTTTTAGCTATTTATAAGGAATTTTCAGGTGTAATCACCCCTTAATCTGCTCCTTAATGGGGGCTTAATTATCCTATTAATCGGGTGTAACAACCCCTTAAACCTCTTCCCAGATTGTGGGTAGAAAATGATTTTTGGAACCGTTTGAATGAGTCAAATGCAGTAATTTAATTGCGTTCTGGATGTGAACCTGCGTTCGAACGCATGGTCTGGAAGCTACGTTAGCGGCTAGATTTGAGCCGTGTCAACGGCTGTGAACGTAGTGCCTGAAAGCTGCGTTTGTGCTGCGTTAGTGGCGTTCGAACGCAGCGTTTGGAAGCTGCGTTAGCGGCTGGATTCGAGCTGCGTCCGCGGCCGAATCTGAATTGCGTCTGTGGCTTAAGAACATTGCATTTGTGTTGCGTTAGCGGTTGAAAATGCTGCGTTTTGTTGATGAGAACGCAATGGTTGCATTGTTTCAATTCTGGAACGTAGAGTCGAGCCTCCGACGAGCTTGGTGAGCTTCAGGCGAAGTCCTGTCTTACAGACGAACTTCAGACATGACTTATTGCGAAGAACATGTCATAACTTTCAAACCGTAAGTCGGAGTTAGACGAATTATATATGAAAATCGACTATCTCGACGAGACAGAGCCGACCAAACTTTGCTCCCATCCGTTTTACCAAATTTCTTACGGTTTAAGTGATATCTGCATTTAGATTTAAAGATACCGTCAATCTGTAGTCTCTTATGCTAGAGCATTGCAAAGATTGTCATCTTGTAGCATTCGTCTTGACTTCTTGAAAATATGAGAGTTGTCAGATTGTAACTCCTGATGTTGATTGTGAAGACTTTTGAATTAGAGTTTTCATCGGTTGTTGTGAAGGTCGTCAGATTGTAACATTCATCGATCTACGTGAAATTTTTTAAATTGTAGCCTTCTGAAAGCCGTCAAATTGTAACTTTTATCATCGGTGTTTGATGAAGATCAGCTGTCTGCAGTAATTTTTAGACAGCCTACAGTAGGTTGTCAGCCAATAGAGTCGACCGCATGGGCAGTGCGAGTCGTCCGAGTTCCACTTCCACACAAGTCTGATTAGGCATGGTACGGGACACGTGTCAGTTTCCTAAGTGAGGTTAACACTTAAGTTATTTAATTTTCAGGCTATAATAGTACGTAGTAATTATATATATTTTTTTTAAAAGGAAAATAGCGAAAACAGTGTGATATTGAGAACATGCAAGCAAATTAGTAAAGGTGATTTACATCAACAAAAATAGATAGATGTGATAAGTTACCACTTGGACAAAAGTTAAAGATAGTTATTATATAAAAACACAGCAAAGCTACCGTGACTATACATTTGAAGCAATGGATTTAGGGGCAGTGTATTTTATGACCGGCTCACAATCAATATATAATCCAAAATGTAACTCGTAAATAGGATTCGTTGGTAATTTATTCGCGTCTTTTTCTTATAACCAAATTAATTCACAATTTTCCAAATCAGCTCCTAGACGTGAAGCTATTAGGTCTTCAAAAATCACTAGAAATACAATATCTCGTGCAGCGGATGAAACCCTCACGTACCCTCATCTCATCTTAGCAATTTCTCGGACGCGGGTATATATGCAAGAGGGAAACACGGAACGCATTATATAATTATTATAATCTGTCATGATTGAATATGATGGCGTATGATAACGGGGATGTGAAAGTGACTACTGAGCTATAATAGGCCATGCCCTTTGGGCTTCGGCCTTTTGTCTTGTCTTGTCACTTTCCAAGCCCAAACGTCATGAATCCCTTATATCACGGAACGCTCGAAACAGACGCAGTCATTCTGACAGACCTACGCAAAGATTCCTCACCCTCCCTCCCATTTTTAATTAGCCTCCTCCTTTCTCTATTTCAGATGAATTATGAATATTTTTCACTTAGAAATAAAAGAATCATTACGTCACAACAGTGTCACTGTTTGATGCTTGTGCACCTGCTCCTCTCGAAGGAAACAACAAAGCGGTGTAATATAAATGTAGTTGGTGATAAGACTTCAGTGGGTAGACCTATGGATTGGATGGTGTAGATGAGCGCGTGAGCCTGACTCGGGTTTTTGGTTTAGGTTATCAATTTGTTGATTAGGATTTGAGGTTTGTGCTTGGTTTGGTCGCTACGGGCCTGTTTGGATGTGGTATTTTGTTCCGAAAATTTGAAGGAAAACTGTCAAAATAGCAGCTTTCCCCTCAAAACCGCCTCCCAAAAAGATGCCTAAAAGCTACCATTTTGTCAGCTTTTCTCCTAATTTTCGGGACAAAATACCCCATCCAAACAAGCCCTACGTGTGCATGTGTGGTAATGCGGTCGCCAGCTAGGGCTAGCAAAGCTTTTACCTCTTTTTTTAGGTTGCCAACCTACGCTAGTTTTTTTTCTTTTTTTAAAATTTTTATGTAGGATTACCTACTTCAGCGTGAGTATAACTTTTTACCGTTCGAGTTATCACTCTATCAGAAGGCTGAGTTAGTTTAAAACTTTTCTCTGGCCTTTTGATTTGATATTTGATTCTTCTTCTGTTTTTCCTTCTTCTTCTTCTTTTTTTTTTTTGGGGGGGGGGGGGG